GTTAGGAACTCCCCCCCAGCTTCACGACACAAGTGCCACCAGCACCTCTGGGGGGCCCGAGGACTCCCTCCGCCCCACCACAGCACTGGACCCACCGCAGCTATAGGCAACAGATTTAAATACCCAGGACTCCTCGGGCTGCAGAGAAATACATTTAAATGAACTACAGGATATTAAAGTGGTGGAGGAAGGGGGGAGGGGATTTATAAAAAAAAAAAAAATCAGTTTAACTTTTCCTCTTACTAGAACGAGCTGGTGTACAATGGGGGCACAGCCCCGGGCAGGGCTCCACTGTCTTTGAAGAGCTGCTCCTCAGCGGTGGCACAGACCGAGGGCTTTGGGCTGCCCCACGCCAGCCATCGCATGCGGTGGTCCCCGTGCCGGACACCCCTGAACTGGCTTCATGCCTGCTCCCCAGCCTGTAGCCTGCCCAAGGAGGACAGCGTGCCGCATAGGGGAATCACACTGCCCAGGCAGCTCAAAGGCATCACCTGTATGTGGAACAGGGAACCACAGAGGCAGCAGACCAGCAAGCGCAGCAGGAATGCACAGGGAGTGCAGGCTGCTCTGCAGCCCCATTTCTGCTGGGATTTGGCCCATGTGAGTGGCTCGGTTCCCGCACGCAGAGGCAGGACTGGGTTCTGCCATGTCCCAGCTCTGCACTGGCCTGCGAAGGCAGGCCACAGGCAAGGAGCACTGGAAGGGGCGTGAAGAGCCACCCCCTTTACCCAGAGGCGTCAGCCTTTGGAGGAATGTGCAATCTGCCCATACAGGTGGGCTCTTGCCCTCCCACCTTGCCAGGGTGGGGGAATGCAAATCCCTCCTGGTCCCCCCAAGCTGAGCCCATCCACTGCTGCAGGAACTCAGTGCCCCAATACCCCTGACTGGTGTCAAGGGGTGAGGCTCCCCTACCTGGTCTGGGGGGTCAGGGGCTTTTTAGGACTTATTGAAGGCTGCCAGGACAGCCCAGATCATCTCTGCGCCCCTGGCTTTGGCAGCTTCCACCTCAGGATCCATATCGAGGAGGTCCTTGGTCCTGTTCATTGCCACATCGTACTTGTCATCTGTCAGGCTGGCGAAAACATTCTCCAGTACATCTGAGGAGTGGGCCAGCACCAGGAGAGCCAGAGTCCTGCGGTCCATGCGCTGGGGGTCATTTACCCACCGCTCCAGCATGCTCTCCTGGAGCTTCTTCACCAAGCGCTGTTTCTCGGTGGCATTGCTGACAGGGTGAGTGGTCATGTCAAAGAGCAGGAAGTTCTGCTTCTCTGTGGTGAGGATACCTTTCTCCACTAGCGCTTTGGCAATGCGCTCGCGCACATTCCTCAGCTGGTACTGCAGCTTGAAGGGGTTCCAGGTCTCCCCTGCAAAAGAGGAGACCCCATTCAATGCTGGGGCACCCAACTTTGCCACCCAACCCTAGTGCCCAGGCTGCTTCCAGCCCAGGACCATCTGTGCTTGCATGGGCACCAGTCCCCACAGCAGGAACCCTCTTCCTCCTTGGCCTGACTCTGACCTGCTTCTCCCATCAGTGCAAGCTGGCAAAACTCCCAGCAGCCACAGCGACCTGGGGGCAGATCCCTTTGGAAAGCCCCTTCTAACCCAGGACCGTGGACCTCAGACTCTGTGAAGACTCAGCATGTAAAAAAGAGGCAATAGGGAGCAAGGTAAAATTCTTCCACTGAGCTCCCAACAAAAAAGACCCAAATAACCATTCTTGGCCCCCACAATCAGCTTTCCCCGTTCTCCTGTCAGTATTCTGCCCATCTCCAGTGAAGCAAAGGAGAGAGGACAGGAGGCAGGGATGTGAACCACGGGAGCTAGTGAGATGGTGTCTCTAACTGGCCCTACCAGTGAGTAGCTCTATCCAAGTCTGCACCGTTTCTGCTGACTCTGTGGCCTTGATGTGTCGGAGGGTCTCATCCAGCAAGACATCACCAGTTGGTGCGTCCGACTTCAGAAGCACCTGGAAGGACAAAATGGAAACACGGTGTAAGGCTGGACAGAGACCTGCTGCTCCCCTCCTGAAGGAATGGTGCCAGTCTCAGTGTGCAGCGCTGCTTTAGCAAAGCTTGCTGCCAGAGGGCTTGGCTGGGGTGGACAGAGCACTGAGGCCCGTCAGGTCCCAGCCCCGCTCCTGTAGCACCTTCACCTTCCTCTCCAGCAGCCTTTTCTTCCTGATGGAGAGCTGCTCCAGGCAGATCCGGCCACGCAGAGCCAGCTCGATGAGGATGCCGCCCCGCAGGCCGGAGGAGATGCAGTCATTCCAGAAGGAGGTGTAACCCTGGAGAGAGAGGATGGACAGACAGGGGAGAAGAGACAAGGGAAGGGGAGCTCTGCCAAGACCACCACCTCTCCTGGCCTGCTCGGGCCCTGCCCAGGCAACTTTCCCAACTCTGATTAACAGTTCTGCCTCCCAGGCCAAAGGGAGAAAAGGGCTTTCCCCACCAGGTGGAAAGTGCCTGGCAGCCCCAATTAACCCCCTCCCTGCCCAAAACCTCCCTGTAAACATTGCACAATTCAGGCTGTGCCCTTCCCGCTGCACCCTCAAACACCCGGCACACCCCAGTGCTGGGCAGGCAGCTGTGCCCAACCCCAGATCATAAAAAATCTGAGCAAGAATAAAAAAAGTGGGGCCTTCTCCCCTGCCCACAGAGGGACATTGCCACTGCTGTGTGGCTGCAACTGACGACATGAGCTCTGCTCTGCCTGGACTCAGCACCTGCTGTAGATGTGTTTGGGGGAAACAGGAGAAATCCACTCTTCTCTTTGAAGAAAGCCCCCACCTGCTCCAGGCAAGCCCTGAGAGTAATCAGCTGTATAAAGAAATCGCTTGTCAGGCTCACGAAGGAGAGTTTCCCTGCTACCCGCAGCACTGTCCCATGGGACATAGGCTGCAGCAAGCCCCAGCTCCCACCACAGGGCACAGGAATTTCCCCTGCCCCTTGCCCACCCCACCCTCACACCCCCTTGGCTCGAATTTGTCTGCAAACTTCTGTGAAGGCAGAGAAGATTTCCAGTCAAGGATGAAGAACAGGAAAATACGTCCCACTTCTCCCCCCAGAACGGGCACCTTGGGGCTGGGGTGCAGCAGTTCGGGTTGGACATTGTGACCGGATCTGCCTGGACTCGGCATGTTTCACACCTGCCCCCATGCTTCATTCTCGGAACCTGCTCCAGGACAAGGTCCTCACCTTGAGAAGCGCAAGCTCCAAAACTGTTAAGGCATTTGGCAAAGCAATAAGACAGTCTGGAAAATATGGCCTGCCAGGAGCCAGCAATTGAATTGGGGATTTTGGTCCAGGGAAGACGAGATACAGGGAGAGTAGAATAAGGGGCGAGGCGGGTCAGATGCATGAAAGGCAGCAGCAAAAAGGACGGGAAAGGCCAGTTCCTACTTCCACTGTACGTAAGACAGAGTCCTAGGCTAAAACTGTAGCCAGGAAGACTGGAGCTGGCACCAGGAAGAAATAACTGTCTGGACAAGAAAGCCCAGGAACAGTTCACCCCTGGAGGGAGGGGCAGGGAAGGAAAGCCTCTGCCACTTGAGGTTTAAGAACATTCAACTGATGCCTCTCAGGAGAAAGCTGACCCTGGTTTGGAGCACTAAGACAGACTAGACAACCTCTCTGCTCCCTGCTTCCACTTGTTTTTTATCCCCTGATGAGAACAAAGCCCGGTTGTTCTGGCCCATGACTGCTGCATCGCGGCACCAATGCAGGGCAGCAGCACTTGGATTTCAGGGCAAGCAGGCAGGGCTGCGGGGAGATGCTGGGAACAGGGCAAGCGCTGGTGTTTTGAGATGGGTCCAAGGGAAGGGGGAGCCAAGCGGGATGCAAAGTCACAATGTGCTTCTTTGCTTTTTTTTAACTCCCTTTTCCTTGCTTTTTCTCCCTGGAGGGAGTAGGGGGGAAAGAGAAAGGGCAGGTCTAAAAGCTACCAGAAGACTGCAGACAAAGCAACCTAACAGGCCCCTTTCCTAAGGACAAGAAGGCTGAGAACATGCAGCCCTCCCCCATGGAAGTTTTTACAGTCCGTACGGGTAAACTCTTGTCCCCAGCGTGTCTGTTTATACAGTGCATCTGGACACCGGCTTGCTCAGCTTGCGTAGCACAGAGAACCATAAAAGAAACTAAAACCTTTATTTGCTTTCTTCATTTCCTTGTGAAGAAAGACAAAGCAACATTTCATCCCTGCCCTGCTGATTTCCGTCCATGGGAGACGCACTTTTTTTTTGCATGCGTCCTTTAGGAGCAAGCTCTCCAGAACAGGGTGTGGAGGTGACCCAAAGTTTCAGTTCACTGGGCTGGAAGGTACGTTACCCCTAGGAAGTTTTAAGAGGTCTGAAACAAGTCAAAAGCTCCTGGGTTACTTTCAGCATTTGGAATCAGACTGGTTACAAATGTCAGGCTGGTGCACAGCCAGTTTCTCCTAGATGGACGGACTGGTACTTAAAATAATGAAATTACACTGTGAGCTCACTGGATTTGGCTAAAATTGTCTTGGTTTTTATTTCCAATCATCAAGCCATGAGTGAATAACAGAGCTGGGAAAACCCAATGCCTAGGAGCCCAGTTCACTGCCAGGCTACTGCTGCCTCTGGTCTTCCTTTCCAGATGGAGGAATGCAGCAGGACAGGAGGGAAAAAAAAAAAAAGCATTACAACTTTTTTTCCCCCCCCGCATCTATTGTGCTCTCCTGGCTCCCTGATGGCTGAAGAACCATTCCCAGGAATACATTAACCCAGCCAAGAACATAGCTGAAGAAAGCAGATCATGCCATGTTCCTCAGCTGTTCTCAAATATTTGCTCCAAAATTATTTGTGTGATGTTTTCTTTATAGCCATGCTCTCTTGTTACTTCCTATTCGGCTCAGAAAGCCCTAGATCTTATCTGGGTTCGTTAAGCAGGACAGCTACAAGCCTCTGTCACTCGTGCAACCTGCAGCTCTCCCCTGCCAGATCTGTGAGCATGGTCCACGTCAGAAGCCAGGGCTGAGCAGGTCTACGTGAGAGCAAGGCACCAGTTCAGACTAACACAGCAGTAGCAGGGTCCTATGAAAAACAAAGTTCAGGCACCTCACAGGGGCTTAATTTCAACCCAGAGAAACAAAGAGAAGGTGGCCCACTCACCACAGCTTTGACAAACACAGTGTCTCCTCAGAGTGGGAGACAAGCTCACAGGAAGAGTGCTCCTGGAGCTGAAAAGGCTGTGTTTAAGGCTCTCCTCTGCCATTATCATCCCACCTTGGGCAACTGGTTACCTTCCCCTGGCCTGGATTTCCCCATCTGCTTGACAGGACTAGCAGCATCAGATTCCCACAAAGAGATCAAGATGATGCACCCACTAAAGAAGACAAGGCATGCTGACACCGAACAGCTCAGAGACCTCAAGGCAAGGTATCTTCTCCTTCCCCCACGGCTTGTTCTAGGCAGAGTTGAGAAACCAGTTCCTACGGGCTGATAAGCACAAAACAATTCAGTTTGACCAGGGTCCCTTTCCAGCAAAGAACAACTACCTGAAAATGTTTGTTCATCCTGCGAAGTTCATTCACTGCTGCCAAGGAAAGCCATTAATCCGACACAGATGGGTGAGGCAGGCACCCAACAAAGGGACTCCCATCCAGTCCCACTCCCCTCAAGCCTGGAGCTGCCTGACACCATTCCAGACCAGCTAAGGAAATGACCAGCCTGAAAACAGAGATGTGGCTCCTACCTCCTTTGCCACGGCTGTGTTCAGACCTATCCTGCACCTGCTTTCAACTCCCAACCCAGCTGCCTTTTCTTGCCTTGCCCTCTTCTTTCAAAACCTGCTGCGCTGTTTTTCACATCAATTTTTAACAAACTGGAAACAGTGCTCAGAGTGTCGTTGTGTTTCAGCTGATGGTTTCGGATTGAAAGATACACTTTGGCTGGGGAAGAAAACATTCACCATCTGATGCGCAAGGTGAGGCTTCTTTTACCCCATGTTTTTGACCTCAGCAAAGACCAAACCCACCTCTGCTTTGCTACGGCTGGTCACACAACACCTTAAGGCACCCCTTGCCTCCAGCTGCTTCTTACAGTCCCCAAAGCAGAGCTGGTGGGACAGCACTTGCAAGCAATCTCCACAGCTCAGTTTAAGCTACAGACGAAAGTGGTTTGTGTTACGCAGGCTGGCTTCGCCGAACAGGATTCAGAGGAACTTTTATGATCCCTTCATGTGCTCACTGAGAACCTCACCTCCAGGTACACCAAGGCAGTGCTGTCACCACTGCACATGCAGTCGTCAGATGCCTGCCTTACCTCCTTGTCCTTCAGCCCCAGCAGCAGCACCTCCTCCATCAGCGTGAGGCGGATATCTTTGGAGTCATCAGGATCATCATCATTCAGGTCTCTGTCTGCAACCGCATCTTCCTCACTGTTGTGCTTCTTGTCCGAGTTCCTTCCCGCCTCAGCACGCCGTCCTCGGTGCGTTAACGTCGTCATCTCCCCCCTTCGGCTGGGCACATAGAGAACCCTGGTCTGCCCCATTTCTAAACATGATGAACTACAACAGTGCTAAGCCCCAGGTCCCAAACCCCAGGCTCCAGGGAGGCACAGGCAAGGACAAGGGATGCTCCCGCTTTCTACCCAGGAAATTTTTGTCTCATCCTTCCCACCAAAGATGCGTTTGAGGAAATGACTGCACATTCTGGGAGAGGAGGGGAGATCCGAGCCACAGCCGAGTCGTCTCAACGAGGCACCTCTGCCCGTGCGCTCCCAGCAGAGACGCGGCCCCGCAGCCAGGCAGGACGCTGAATGCCCAGCACCGTCCCGGGGCGATGTGGAGAGCGCACCCTCCTCGGCATGGCTCTTCCTCACCCCCCCATGCGCACCTGCCTAGAGCCGATGCCTTTACACGGAGGTTAACGAGCTGCACGTCCGGGGTCGCACCCCCCGGCTGC